ATATTTTTGGAGGGATGGACATTTTGTTTGAGGGGGTTATAGATAATATTGGAGGGGTAGCACCCCCCTGCACCCCCCCCCCACACAAAATCCGTCTATGAAATAAATACATCACATGCCATCTGCTTTTCACGGGCATAGTGTCACCATGGATTGTAAAATAACTGGATAGGAAACTTCCTGACGTCACAGTCTAAACCTAGTTGCAATAGGTGACGTCACGTGTATTGCCAAAGTTCTCGGCATTTTTGTTGTTTCGCTATATTTTCCGCTTTAAAAGAGTAATATGCTTCAGCATAAACTGGTCTAATTGTTTTAAAAACATGCCTAAGCCACGACAAAGCATTCAAGGTAAATGTTTTTCGTCTTTGTTTTGTATTTTTTTACATTTGTAGCTACGAAATTGGCGTAGCCAAATTTAACGAAATTTGCGATGCATTTTTCACTGTTAGGCCTACTCTGGGGTGGTAAATCGCCTTAAATCGCTGCGATATAATGCGATTTTAGGCGATTTAAGTAAAAACTGGGACTTTCAAGCACTGCGATTTTAAGCAAATTTATATATAACAATATATAAATTCAAGTTAATGAGACAACACGTTTGTCACCTTCAAACCTGGTTATAATCTCATAGTAACAGGATAAGCTTGTCAACAGCCACAAAAAGGCGATATCCAATAGTCCAAAGTTCAAATGTTTCTCTGGGCAAGTGTAAAACCGAATGAAAGATCAACTGACCAATCATATGTCAACAACGAACACGCAGAACAAAGGTCAATGTGATAAGGGAGTTCACTTTGACAAATATCCCAACAAAGAGCAATGTCTTGTTACAGAGAAAGAAAATTTCCACCCACCCACCCGTTCATGTTCCTGGTATCTGGTGAATTGTATTCAAGAACAATTTGTCAAGAAAGACTATCGAACAATTTTCTCATGGAAAATTATCGCTATGTAAATACTTAAATTGGTTTATGTTCAAACAAATAAATTTTGGTTCGGGGTTGAAGTGTTCCCAATGGTCAACTTCAGGCCCATAGACTCAGGTTATTTATGTAAATATAATCAGTCGAATCGTAGGTACTCTCCAAGGGGATTATCACCTCTTGGTTGAGGTCTATGTCAGAGGGGGTCGCTACCCTTCGGGCAGAGCTCCTATAGAGCATTCAGTCTCTCCTAGCAGGTCATATATATACGCATGCGGGATGAAAACATTTAAATATAAGGTTTAATGAGTCTTTGGGTTGACCAGAGTTTGAGAGTATATAATGTATATAATTGGTTCAATTCACCCAGAACCCATTCTCCCACAATGATTTGGTGTGTGTTTTACTTATTTTCGGGTTGTTCTTTCACCTAACGTGCTGGTATTATTAAGGCGATTTAATGCGATTTATGAAAAAAATTTAAATTTTAGGGATTGCAATTTAGTTGTTTTCAAAGGAATTAAATTTTATGTTTCGCTCCAGTTTCCTCCCACAAGGCAAAATTGGCAGGGTGGGTTAGGATATAAACAGAGTTAGGAAAGTAATATCATATTCTCATTGTTGTAAAGATAAATAGTCTAGGCTAACATAAGTAATCATAGTACTTGATGTAATCGGTCACTGAAAAGCCCCAATGTGGGGAGTGAGCTAAATAATCATATAATGTTTACACACACATATGCATTGTACAGGGCATTTTTTAAGAATTCATCAGTGGGGGGGGGGGGGCATCTACAAAAAGGGACCATACTATACTGAGTGTGGAGAAATGATAGATGGTTTGTTGGTAACAAAAAGTTTGGTGTGGTATAGCATTTAATAGTAGGGGGGGGGGGGGCTGGAGGTATTCTCCCCCAGAAAATGTTTGCATTTTTCTATCCCTATAACTGCAATTCCCTGCATTTTCTGAAACAGATTTTTGGATATACAGCATTACATTATGCTGTAGATAGACTGAACCCTAAGTTATGTACTTGCATAGTATGTTTATGCAGGGGTCATCCTAAGAAAATTTTAGAACTGCCCATTTCGACAAGAACAGAGGTATAGTGAACACAGGCTAACTATGTGGCAGACAAGGTTCATGCATTAATCAATGCGCCAGAAACTCCCCTTCAATGAGACATTTTTGCCATGACGTATTAGATACCTCAACAGCTAGGAGGGTCCTGGGGGCAATGCTCCCTTAGAAAATTTTGAATTTTAAAAGTCCAGAATGGTCATTTTATGCATTTTCAGAGTAAAAGCTGGATTTTATTTTTGCCTTAAATATCTGTACGGGTGCTTAATGTATAATTAACTTTCATATATAAAGCTCAAAAACTGGATTTAAGAACTGCCCATTTTAAGTTTTAGAACTACCCATTTTACATTTAGAACTACCCATTTTGGAAAATGGGAGGCCTTAGGATGACCCCTGTGTTTATGTAGATACCACAACTTGGTCACTCAGGGAACCAGCTTGATAAACTTAGAGGGCCCGACTCCCACGAAGTGCCACCATGGTTGGCACAGAACGGGCAAATTTTGAAAATCTTGCGTCTCGAAATCGTCGGAAATGGCATTTTCAAAATCTTCTCTTCCTCTTTTGTTAGGCCCTTTCAATCTTTCGATCATTACTTCGTTCATTATGATTTGTGAGTCTATAGTATCCGCAAGTAAGGATGGATTATTACGAGAAATGTTGTTATCAAAATATCGATTACAGATATTTGATTATATATATACGATTTCTTTGCCCCCCCCCCCCCAGTTATATAGTTAAAAAATGCCCTGGGTTTAAAGCCACGAGCGCGCAGCGCGAGTGGCTTTAGACCTAATAAAACACGACCTGTGAGTTTATTAAACGGCTTCAAACACGACTACAAATTCAATAGATATACTGCCTTACTAGTATTCTTTATATAAAGAATACTAATTAGGAGTGTTTTTATCAGGTTTAAAGCCACTGCACGTGACATATTATGGTTGACATGATTTGCCAATAAGCTTATGAATTATTGAGTGTTTGAAATACAGTATTATGATATGCAATATGGAAATGGTAGAGAGTATTCCTCTGTCATTAACCCAACCAAGTGAATATTATTCATCCTTGCATGGTCAAGTAGTAAAATAATTCATAACATACAGCGTCGATCACTAGTTGCTTCCCTTGTTCTTTGGCTTTCATGACAATATTCTATTTTGAAGAAAAAGTCAAAAATACATAAAGCCTGCAATTGATTTTACAAAACTACCCTACCACCCCGCATATAAGCGCCTGCAGATAAAGGCGCGTGCGCTTATATCTGACCGTCAAAATTTGCGAGTTAAATCACGGTTTAAATAGACATGAACATAACCCTTCTTTTAATGATATAAAATTACTTTAAAATTTATGTTTTAAATTATCAACATTTTCAATTGTGGTTATATGGTTAATGATAATTGTTATTGCACTATTAATAAATTATTAAACGAATGTGCCAATTCTCATAGCTAGATCCCATCAGCGTAGATCTGGGCACGAGAGTCGCGTGTGAAATTTTATAGGCGCGTGGTATAAAACGTCAATTTTTAGTCAAAAATGTTTCCAAAATTGCAGAAAATTTATTTATGGGTGCTGCGCTTATATGAAGGGTAATAGGGTACCCGTACATGTATACCATTTCAGTTTCTAATTTGTTGTTAAATGTATAACCATTACCATACATCTATAACAAAGTAAGACTGTTTCACCTTTACTACAGAAAGAATTTGAGAATCCCTTCCTAATCCAGGCCCAACAACTAGGGTATGGAGTCGAGGCAGCCATTTTAAAAATTCATCAACTGCGTTAGCTTCGTCCCTACAAAATTGAATTTTCGAAGCATTGATAAACTGAAGGCAGGATATATTTTTTGCATTCAGGCCTTTTTTGTGCCTTCTAATGTTATCATCAGATCTAGAAGACTATTGAAGCACAGTACCGTACGGATTCAACAAGAGAAAATTAAACCGAAAGCCTTAACAGTATTGAAGATCAGAAGACTCATGATGCTCCAAGTTCATTAATAGCAGTGCTTTCGGCTGTAAACGCCGTCAGTAAAACTGGGATAAAATTAGTTAAGGGACATCATTAATAAATATATTAGGGAAAGCGACGTTTTTGGCAACACGGACGTCAGATTGCCGAGAGGGACTGGATTAATAACTGGGTTTGTGTCAGCCTACCTCCTGGCCTTCTCGCTTCCGCCTCATTATTTTAGGGGGAAGTCGACAAGGTTTGCAGGTTGAACGGGATAAAGCTGTATTATTTGCGACCCAGTTCGGATTTTTTGCGAAACTGACAGCCCGCAAGTTCATGACAGCCTGTAACTTGCCCGCGCTTGGAAGGTCAGGGACTAGGCTGGGTTGTGTCTGTTTGTGATAATCGTCAACACATTTTCGACTATTATACTTTATACGATATTTAATATTTTCTTTATTAGCACCATGCAACATCATTCGCATTATAACTTAGCTCTGGTTAATAACCGAAATTATTATTTTTATTGAAAATAATTCAAGAGTTTGGCTAAGAGTTATCAGTGAAATCCTCAAATCCGCTCTGTACCTGCCCAAATTTGGATTTATGACATCACCGTGGAATATTGAAAACAAATATACCACGTTTGACGTGATTTCGTGGTATACTGAAAAACAATGTAACACACTATGACGTCACGCTAATGTATGCGGTTTATGCCAAAAGCGAGAAAATACAAATGGCTTCCTCAAAGGAAAGGGTCGCCGACCTTTTTTGTGTATTCCGACAAATAAATAACAAAACAATTATTGAATTTGGTTCTCGCAGGATATGAGGAATTATTAAGGCCTCGGTTTGTGTTATCTACCTCAGCCTTCGGAAGATAACACAAACCTCGGCCTTAATTCCTCATATCCTACTCGACCTCATTCAATAACTGGGTTTTTTTTATTAAAATTGTTTGCCACAAGAGCATAATACATAAAAGACAGTCACAGTAACTATTTACATATGTTTATGAATCTATATACAAGAGGAATCACAGTATAACAAGGTTCCAAGTCACTTACAAAAGAGGATGAACAATAAGTTCTGGACTGTAAGATTTGATAACTTGAGAAGCTCCTGAAGTACAGAACACGTGTGATAGATCACAACCCTAGATAATGCAAAAATTGTACATTTTCAATGTGAATTACATGGTAATTACATGAAACAACTGAATACATTAAAATTACAACATGAGGTTAAAATATTAATACAGCAATACTACTATGAATTATCTGTAAATCTAACTGTTCGCGTTAAAATTTGCTATAACGATAAAGGAGTTTTGTACCGTTCGGTTCTAAAATTAGGAATTTGACATTTCAATTCTTAAGGAATAGCAAGATGCCAAATGGCTATTGAGATAGATCATGTATTAATATTTATGATTGGTATACTCTACGATTTGGTTAGAAAACTTCGTGAAAGCTCGATTTCTTCTTCCGCTATAAGTGTTAACAACCCCACTTTCAACGAGGAAATCTTCTCATAATCAATTCCAGGATATATACAATAGAATGGGTACGTTTTTGAACACGTACTGGTCTGATACTTTTGATGTTATGTACTCAGGTGAATATGATGTTCGTGATGTTACTTTGAGTATGCATCCACACCGGGCAAGCTGAAACGTTTGCCTCACAACGGTGGGAATCGAACCCGCGACCTTTGGGATACTAGTGCAATGCTCTACGTTGACGAGTTACGTGATCAACCACAAACATCATATTCACCGGAGTACATAACATAAACAAACACAATTTAAAGTATCATATCTTAGAATACATTAATATCGAAAGAACTAAATATCACCAACTCGAACCGACTTGACCTCGTAGCTCAGTTGGTAGAGCATTGGACTTGTATCCCAAGGTCGCGGGTTCGATCCCACCGCGGTCAGGCAAACTTTTCAGTTTGCCCGGTGTGGATGCACACTCAGAGTAACATCACAAACAATGTACACTGGTCTAATACATGTTACATACAGTGCCGGATTAACCATATGGATGCGATATGCCACGCGCCCCGTAGCCTACGATATGCAATATGCCACGGGTATAACGGGTCCCACGCTTACTCTGCTATTCATTGCTTTAACTGAACCAGAAGATATAGTCGTTTCGAGCATTTAGAGACAATACAATTAGGCCTCGGTTTCAAACGTCGAGCTTCTCATGTGCCGAACGCATTAAAAACGATAGATAATCAGCTGAAATGCCTCATTATACAAATAATGAAATTTTATTCGTGCAATGGTAAGAATATTTTCATGAGGTGAATGATGGAATGTAAGAATGTTCCATTCAACGAGGCGACGTTGTTTTATATAATGCCAAAATGGACTAATAGATTCGTACGAGAAGCATTTTGACGGATGCGATTTATCGAAAACACAAAGAGTGCAATGCCAGTTGGAATAAAACGTATAGTACAATTGCACTCGCAAAGAGTGCACTCTTGGGAAATGGAATTTTCTATTCAATATCACGTGACCATAAACAGCCAATTAAACGATCAGAATTCAATAAGGTATTATATAATATCTACACATGAGAGGCGCGACGTTTGAAACCGGCCTTATAGTCTTAGATATATGACTGTTTATGCAGTCACTTACGGAAACATATCAAGCCCTAGTCCTAGATTAATAAAATAACAAGGTTCCCAGCCTTCAGGAAAGGTAAAATTCAAGGACCTTTCCAAGATTTTAAGGCCTGTGGATCGAACCCTGAAATAAGTTTAACGTCTAATAAATTCGGCAACATAGCATGCATATCAATTAAGTTTATTATAATTACCTCGGGTCGGTACGACACCGAGGTCTTAAATTCGGCTCCTATTTTTTTTTTTTTTTTTTTTCGAGCCGCGCGCGTAGTCGAAGATCGAAGAGCCTGCGGAGGAGACGACAACTTCCGGTAAATAAGTGTACTTCCGGCAAGTATCGGCCAAAGCGAAACGGAACCCGAAGCTGTCCTTGCACAAAATCCGTCAGAATTGTTGATTTAAAACCAGAAGATGTGATAATTTTGACATACATGTTTAGCTGGACAACTATTCTCGAGTATATGTTGATATAATGTACAATACATCGTATGCATGGCATGGGAATACCGCGGCCAACTTTCACTTGTTATCTATTATAATTACTGGCCCGAATCAAAAGTAATTATTTTCGGCTGGAAGACAACTGTACGTCGCTGCTTGTCGGGACCGTATGACAATGAACCTATCCAACGTTACACTAGACATTTGTGAGGACATGCATATAGACATAACCATAGGCACTGTAGTGCATTGTGATAGAACAGATTTCAGTTTAATTAATCGCCCTAAATTAAAATCTCCACAAGCGGAGGTCAATTATAGTGTTCTAGTTTACATATTATCATTAATGATAAGGTTTACTCAAATAGCGTATTGGATAATCACGGGAATAGAACTTATGGTGTATTCTGCACATGCGTATATCTAGGATAAAATCCCACAAGCGCAAACGAAACTATTTCTCTATAAAATTGAACTGAAAAGACTCACAGCGACCGTTTCCAACAGTGCTTCAGGCACCCGACGACACCGTATGGGGGGCCTTTAGCACTGTCACCTTCTCATCTTGGGATGTTTACGTTATCGCGTGTACATGTCAGGGTGACGAAGATGCATTATTGCTAATAATGTCTGTGTGCACTGATGCACGCTGCATTATTTTTAATAATGTCGTGTGCTATTTTAACGCGTACATAGAATATGACGCGTATAAACATTTACCCCTGAGCCGGAATTTCCCTATACAACCAAAAAGGGGGTAGTTCCTCGGGTAGAGGAGAAGTGATCACGTGATCGGCTAGTTGTGTTGTTTGTGGCGTCAGATATAACCAAATCCCTATCTCTAAGCCTAATCCTTACCCTAACCCTAACCCTTACCCTTACCCTAACCCTTACCCTAACCCTAACCTCAAAACTAATCGCTATAACTAACTGATGACGTAGTCTGTGATGCAAATTCTTCTACCCGAGGATGTACCCCAAAAAGGCCGCTCCCGTTTTTCAGTAGAACGTTAAATGAAAACTTCTCGACATTCGCTGATATAATGCAGAGAGAAAACAATAGGTTTGATGAGGGCCAGTAATTATTGTCAACAATATTAAAACGGAGCTTTGATTAACTGATTCACCATTTATACTAGTGAACTATTAAACTATCGTGATTTACACAATTTTTGGATATTTACCAGACGATCCCCTATCCACCGACCCGAGGTTAACGCCGAGTCGGCGTCTTGTTCTATATTGAACTGAAGTCTAAAAGCGTCGCACTTGACTTGAGTCTTGACAAATGACAACTTCAACTTGAGATTAGAGCTGGACACTTAAACGTACTTCACTTCAGAAGTCATCACAAGTCAACTACAAAGTTTATAATACAAACATTTTTTCCAAATGCTGTGCTATTATATTATATTTTACTCTTCAGACCGGGCCCTAAAGTACCTGTCAGCAACATACTTAACATAATATTTAAAGGGTATTGGCAACAGAACATTTTATTGCTTCATCTGAAAGATCACGGAAAAATAAGCCGATTTGGCCGTTTAATGCTCTATTCTATCTCATCTAGTTCCGAAGTTATACGCAAAAATGTGCAAAATATAAGTTGCTGATTCAGCACAACGTGTGACGTCATTGGTTCGGTAAGTATGTTTAATGAATACTAAACTGAAGCATAGCTCAGTTATTATGGACCCAAATGAAATGAAATTTTGCATACTGATTGTACATGATGAGACGCATTGAAAATCACTTCCAATTTTGTTGCCAAGGTGACAATGTCGTTCCCAGGCCCCTTGCGCTAATTTTATAAAACAGCTTCATTCATGGTACTTTATAAGAATAAAGTAATATCAGAAGTATGTGTACCATACCTATGCATGCCAAAAGTTTACTTGCATGATAATAATTCGAAAATGACATAGTATAGATAAATGCAACTAGTTATTCAAAATCAGTGTAAGGGGCCTGGGAATGACTGTGTTGCCTTGACAACTAAATTAGAAGTATTTTCCCATGCGTCTCATCATGTACTATCTGTATGCAAAATTTCATTTGATTTGAGCCAATAATAACTGAGCTATGCTTCAGTTTACTATTCAATAAACATACTTACCCAACCAATGACGTCACACGTTGTGCTGAATCAGCAATTTATATTTTTCACATTTTTGCGTACAACTTCGGAACCAGATGAGATAGAATAGAGCAGTAAACGGCCAATCGGCTTATTTTTTTATGCTCTTTCAGATAAAGCAATAAAAATTTTTATTGCCAATGTCCTTAAACTGTTCCAACACTTGATGTGCAAGAAGTCAAACATTTAAATCAAATTCTTAGCTACCTACCAACTTTAACGCTGAAATTGCAGCAAAATATGGTGCACCTGTGTATCTAAATGAAAAGAAATAATCAACCTTATTATAAACCATTAATCAAAGAATACACATAATGGCTGATTGGCTGGCTATATATTGTTTCATTCACTTTTAGTGCAGTTCTGGAAATACACTCTTCCAGGAAATATGTCACCTTGGCTAAAAACCCCTTAGTTGTTTTTAGTGATTGAGACATTTGGGTTGGACTAATGTCACATACACGAAAACAAGGCTCTAATTATATAACCAAAGTGACATGATACTTTCCAGAAGGGTTATCATGCAGCCATTTGATTAGACAAAAGGGTGACAGCACTAAATTATCATCACCAAACATGATCACAGCAGCATTTTCCAGTTTTCATACAGCAATTTTTATACCCACCAATTAAATTTCTACTCAATATAAAAATGTTGACAGCATTTTTTGCTGTCACAAATCTTAATGTTGCTAATTCCCAGTGCTGCATGCTAATGTCAGCTAATTATACTAGTGCACACTTGCACATTACTGAGCTGATTCATCAAATGTAAAAGGTGGTTCATTTTTTTCAGTCTAAATGCCAGTGAGAGGAATTTATTTACTAGACCCATAACACACTTGGCTTGTCTGCTTATGTCATCATCAAGCAAAGGGTATGCTGACTAAAATTCAATGGGAACAATTGTGTAAAAAAGAATAGGTGAATTTATACTAGTCTAGTCTAACTACAGTGATCAATATTGTACTAATCATGTGTCTGGACAAACGTGGCCGGGCACAGCAAATATATAGTAATTTATAATTACTCTGTCTGATAATTCATTTGATATATATTACGCACTGCATACTAGATGGTGGCACAGACTGAGATGGATCATCTGTGATGACAAATGATTGGAGGGAGACCAGTGCTCATGGCAGAAGGGTAATTAAATTATCCTAGGCACTCCTGAAGTTGGGACTTCAAATTAGAGAGGGCACCAAAAATTTGGAGGGTCCCATTCTCATGTTAATAATTGGTATGTAGTACCACACGCTCTCTCAATTTGGAGAAATTCAACACTTGACCATACCCCTTTATGAAGGGACGTTGGACACCATTTGGGCTCAATGATTATAATCTACCAGTGGCTTTGCTTGCCATTACAGTCTTTATAGAGCATGTAGCTGTTTTGCTTGGGTTAAGTTTGTCTAAGAACAGATAATACATCTCTTTCTTGAGGGTGGGAAAGGGGGGAATGGATCACGTTTCACAACGAAAAAAAAAGCCGTTTCACAATTCGCTATGTCTTAAAAAAGCAATTTCACGGAAAAGTAAATTCTAATGAAATAACATAATAATAATAGGTTTATTAAGAGTATGTTTAATGCATGGAACAGTACCACGCTTTAAGTTCTCTCACGTCTCTGCCTGCCGCAGTTAAAAACTACACCATAACTTAAAAAGTTTGAGTGACGAGTATGTCCGACGACCACCGAAAGGCCTCCGAAGTTTTTACTCTTGTGTGATCGAGTCAGATCGATCATATAAATTGATTATCGCGTATCATGTTTATTATGACTATTATGAAATAGATCGAAATAAACAAAGCAAAATCACAGTTCACGAAACAGACACTTTAATTCTCATTTCACGGAGCATTTTTATCGACAATCATGCCTCACGGCTGTAGAACAAATCACATTTCACGACACTAAAATCAAGCATTTCACATTTCATGCGAACAAATATTGACCATTCACGGCTCACGAAAATACCCTTTCCCACCCTCTTTCTTGTATAAATTGGAAGCAATCGCTTATCACTCCTTCCATAGATGCTGTCAAATTTCCAAATTCTCCACCCATACCAGACTTACAATATTATTTTTGTGTGGAGAAAGTGATTAATTAATTTAAATATATTGCTTAATAAATGTTAATGCATCGGCTCTCTGTAATTTTGCAGGATTTTCTTGGAAATGCATGGAAATTTCTGTGCGGGGAATGTGTTCCCCATACAAACCAAACTTTACAGTCCGGCAGACAGGCACCTATAATGCATAATTTCTATTACCAAAAAGCGAAAAAAGTATGTACAAAAAATCTCCAGAAAAATCATGAAAAAAAGAAAATATGATGCTATTTCCTGCAAAAACTGCCACTGATCACACATTCTTCAACTTGTTCCCAGGCCTCATGATTAAGATGCGAGGTTAAAACTCTCAAATTCCCAACCCTCTGGACAAATGTTATTGTCAAATTCCTGACCCAGGGGAAGCAGGTAGCTGTCAAATCCCATGGGTATGCCCAATACCCCCCCCCCCCCCCCCGGGGGCAAACCACTGACTGTTGGTGCCATTGAACTATAAATAAACTGGAAGGCTAACTGCTATGATGAAGGCCTATGATTTGATGAAGCCAAAATAGTTTTTCTGAGTTATGAGCAGAAATACTTGACCCCAAACGTTGGGCTATATATCAAATTGAAGCTTGAAGCTATTGAAAATTGCTACTCGGTGTGGAAATTTCAAGACTTAGCGAAAAGAAAAATATTTAAAAAATACAAAAACAACTGCAAAACGGCAAATTATCGGTAATTATATTTGTAGTTTTTCAATATTTCCCTTTCAGCTAAAGTCTTGAAATTTTTACACCTAATAGCATTTTTCAATAGCTTCAATTTGATATATAGCCCAACGTTCAGTGTTGAGTATTTCTGCTCATAACTCAGAAAAACTAAAATGCACTGGCTTCAATTCCCCCCCCCCCTGAGTTAGCCTTCCC